AAAATAAACAAAATATTCCTGTATCCCTCTGTATGACCCTTGTGGTATTATGTGTCCCCTGTATTACTGTATGACTCTCTGAGATGGACTAAAATAAACAAAATATTCCTGTATCCCTCTGTATGACCCTTGTGGTATTGTGTGTCCCCTGTATGACTGTATGACTCTCTGAGATTGACTAAAATAGTAAAAATATTCCTGTATCCCTTTGTATGACCCTTGTGGTATTATGTGTCCCCTGTATGACTGTATGACTCTCTGAGATAGACTAAAATGGACAAAATATTCCTGTATCCCTCTGTATGACCCTTGTGGTATTATGTGTCCCCTGTATGACTGTATGACTCTCTGAGATTGACTAAAATGTACAAAATATTCCTGTATCCCTATGTATGACCCTTGTGGTATTGTGTGTCCCCTGTATGACTGTATGACTCTCTGAGATTGACTAAAATGTACAAAATATTCCTGTATCCCTTTGTATGACCCTTGTGGTATTATGTGTCCCCTGTATGACTGTATGACCAACAAAATTCATGCATCAAATATTTTTTGGAAAAAAGAATACGTTTTCTATTAAAACATTTTGTAACCATAAGTAACCAATGTAACCCTTGTATCCATGTATCCCATTCTTAACAGGGGTGAAAAAGAATTGTGTTTTTAGGACATATCTACGGCAATCTGATTTACACTCGAGGGCTACGTCCCCTCGTACAAATCAGAAAGCCTCGTGTTTCGATGCTCTTTCTATTACTAAGACGGAGAAGAAAACAGAAACATACAAAATATCTTTTGACCTCTTGACTTTGATATAGCAGACGTGGAAATTTTGCGCGCGCGGTACAGATCATCTGACAGTGGTGAAAGAATATGCCGAACATTTCAACAATCCATCAAATAATAAGCTGGACACAAGGTGCACACACATGGCACGCATACGCGCAAGGGTTTACTTTAGATGCCCTCAAGATTTTTCAAAGATGCTTCTTAGATATGTCTTGTTTGTTTGTAAAAGTGATATTTACAGCAACTCTGTCAATTTTGGTAGCCAGTGCAAATGTGCCCGCCATTATTTGCTTTGGAGAGTGAGGTTTACAGAGATTTGCCTTTGCAAATATCAAGTTATTATATAGCTACAGTGTGGGCAGTATACATCTGTGGTGCAATAATGTGGGCTGCCATAGATGGAGTGATATATTCCAAATGATAATCTAAATATAGATTCTAATGATAAATGGTAAACGATGTGCAGTCAGTGAAAGTGCCTGTTACATGAAACTTAGAACAAAATCACACTTGGTGTTTTTTAATTCATACAAGTCAAGCAGTCATTTTAAAGTCTATTGAGCTTTATTCAGAATGAAAAACCTGTACAGTTTTAAGTTTACAGAACAGTTACAAATGAAAATATCACAGATAATTTTGTTCGAAATAATATATAATGACAACATTATGATCTCGGTGAACACTGGCAAATTCTTAATACAACTAATACAAGAACACGATAGGTCTCTCCGGGGAAAATATGTTTTGCACTATAAAAGGCATGCATGCTCTGACCTTATACTTGCTCATATATTATCTTGCTATACCATCTCATATAATATTTTGCTTTGAACTTGAGGTATTCACAATAATTTATTAAACAATAGCTGAAAAATATTTGCCCATCTTACTTAGTTAGTATTTTATAATATAATATTTGATGGCTGTCAAGTTTTTAAGTTTTTCTTATCAATTAACAATATAATCATGTTCATCTTGAAAACATAAAATAGCTACAAAATATGTAAAATTCTTATGACCTTTCAATATACGTTTTACCTTAAAACAAAAAATTTTTTCATCAAAAAATGCTTTAATTTATGACAGGAAAACGCCCATTATTAAATCCGAAGACTTACATGTACTTGTTTATTCAAAACATTGCACATTTTATTTTCTATTTTTACAGCATTCTAACATTTGTGCCCAAATGAAAATAAAACAAAATCAACAATGAAAAAAACCACAATGATAATAATGCATAAAGGCAGTATTCAAAAGCATAGACACAAAACATGACTGTTACAATAAACTTTTCTTTAAATATGGTCCACTTCCATCATTCTGCAAGATTGTGATAAAAGGTTATGTTCTGCGCAACTGTACTAGAGTTTATTTACCACTGCCATCCATACAAAGTGTGAGTCACAACCAGTCTACAATATTGTCAATTGTGCCATGCTGGGCTAACTTTCCATTTTCACTATTTGGTCACATCTAATCTACAAATAAGCCATTTATTCAGAGTGTTCATAGCTGAGGAATGCAGTATGACAGTGGTCATTTTAATTATAAGTCCAACACCATGCCTTTCGCACACATGTAACTCTTATCATAAGTTCTAAATATAGTAACAAACACATAAATAAAACCATTATGGTTCATAATGCACTAAATCACCTAAAGATAATGATATAAATAGGAAAATTAGTCCTAAATCATAAATAATACAGGTAAAGATACATCTCCCTGTAGTTTACCAAGTTATATAAAATACTGTGATCAACTTCTAGGATTTCTTCCTTCAAACACAGCATTTAAATCATCTAAACTTTCCTTGAGACAATCTATAAACTCATGTACGTTGGTTTCTGGTGGGTAGTTGGTAACGTTAAAGCCAATTCTCTCATCTTCAACAGAATAACCTACAAAATATAAACATGCTTTCATACATGTATTCAGATGTCTTCAGTTACAATAATGCTCAATGGCGATGGAAAAACAAATATTTCCTATCAAAACCCTGCTTACAAATCAGTAATAAGGAATTGTTTTTCTCCCTGCACTAAATCTTCATTATGTATGAGAGAATGTTATACCTTAAGGTACATCTTAGGATTTTGGCATAATGTACACACATGGTAATATAACACATGTAGTGAGTATCTTACTGCAAAAAATGACATCAGACTTCAGACTTTCACATATTAAATTAAACAAACATATCTGTAACCCTTGTTGTTTTTTTTTACTAGGGTTTTACGTCACATCAACACAGTATAGGTCATTTGGCAATGTTCCAGCACGAACAGGCACCTGAGTGGAACCACCGACTTACCGTAAGCTAGTTGGATAGCTTCCTCACATGAAAGAATCCAAAGTCCCTGTCGGGATTCGAACCCACAGCGGTGAGGGACAAGTGATTTGAAGTCAACGACCTTAACCACTAGGCCACGGATGCTCTGTATCTTAAGTTATTTTTAACTAATTTCATACCCACAGCACTTCATTCAGTGAAGTAAATATAGTGGTGTTGTTTATTTACTTTTAAATCCTGAGTAAAGAGTACTGTAAATATACAATATCCACTTACCTACGCCATACCCATTTTGAGTTACAGCACCAAATCCACCTATAACTACAGAGGGACTACTGAGTGTTGATGTTGATAAGATAATATGATTAATGTTAGCGTATGCTGGATCCTGATACAGCATTGGTACCTTCCCTTCCTGGCCTGCATAATACTTCATAGCAAACAGGTGTCTATCCCAGCCCTGACCTGTAATACAATTTACAGTATATCTTAAGGTAAGACTTCGTAAACTTTTTTTTTTCATTTTGTATAAGCAATCTGGTAGTTTGGTGGTTCTGCCTATACATGTATATGAACGCTGAATCTCAAAACAGTTATGAATCTCAAGATAGTTATGAATCTCAAAACAGTTATGAATCTCAAAACAGTTATGAATCTCAAAACAGTTATGAATCTCAAGACAGTTATGAATCTCAAAACAGTTATATATTTCCTTTTGTGCAAGTAAAAACTGGTTCCAGTGTATGCCTCTTTAATAAAGATTGTTAGTTCAAGTCCTTCATGGATCACAAACAAACATTCTCGTGTCATAGCCGATCTTCTCTGCTTTCATCAAAATTGAGCTAAACAACATTTGTTAAAACATAACCAATGGGAATATGTCTTCAACATTATGGCAAATACATGCATACAGAAATATTTGCATTGTTTCTGGATTTTCTTTGAACTTTAGTGGTAGTTGCAAGTTATCTTTAAAGGGACTGAGCTGGGGCACTTTAAAACAAAAATATGTGCAAAGATAGCTAAGAAATATACTTTGAAATAAATTGAACATCGTAATTTTATGCTTTTCTTAGCCCGATTTGAGTAAAAAGCAAAAGTGTGTGAATGATCTGAAATTTTGCACAAGGATTTATCATTAGTGGTCTACACCTACATCAAATGGTACATTTATCTGGAAAATATTTTCAGTCCTATCATGTCAAAAAACCTCAGTGGAGTCCCTTTAATTAAATTTCAATAATTCTTGGTTTTCATGGTCCTCACCCAGACCTCTTTATTAGTATCTTGTCATATCTTAATCTTAGTAAATCTATTTATATATATCATTATAACTCTAAATTAACTACAAAGATACAGTCCAGTATAATTTGTGTGGTAGAAACATGTGCAATACCCTGTAACAATTTATACTGTCAAAATAGTAGAACCAGCCTGTCTAGCATTCTCTACTGTCCTATATAGCATACAGCAACATATACACAAAGAATTTTTTTTCTTTTCATATATATCCATACACAGAAATGAATTATAGGTATACGAACCCATTGCTGCCTCTTTGGTAAGCTGACCATGGTATTGAGAGCATTGTTCAAGAGCTTCTTTCAAATCCCCCACTGAATATGTATTGTTCTTTTGATTAAACATCTCACACGCTTTCTTTGTTGCTGAATATCAAATGCAAACATTACAGTAACTACAATTTAACTTCAATGTTAATCATTATAATGCTAGAAACAAAGTTTATGTGTTATTAACCATCATCACCTTAAAAACATTGTATCTAAAATGGACTTGTCCATCTTTCATCTTAATAAGACCATTCATTATTTTCAGAGATATTTCAATTTAAGTTTTTTTGTTTTGGTTTTACTGCCCACAGTTAAAGCCATATGGCATCGAAACAGATGATTTTGGTAAACATTGGGTGATACAAACTTTAACAACACCAGTAGTCAAAACCACCTGTCACCTGCTGGAGCTCAGAGATGCACAGACCCCAGTCATTTGAACCCATTTAGTCACCTCTTACAATCACGCAGGGTTAAATAGTGGCTGCAATTCTGATGCCACAACCCGTAAAAGCAATCCTACCCCGACCAAATAGCAAACATGGACGTGCTGACTGATCTTGGTCTGCATTGGTTAAGTGCTTTTTTTGGTTGGGTTTTATATCATACCAACACAGTATAGGTCATATGGCGGCTATACAGCTTTACTTGTGGAGAAAGATCTCAAGTGCCTTTCTGTGCATTATTGAAATCCATTTAATTATATGGCAAGTCATACCATATTTTGGTAAAAAAAGGTGTAAGAATCAGCCAAACATTTCCTCACACTTATTTTCAAACTGTAATGTGAGGGTATTTACCATGAGTTGCTGATCTGATGGTCTCAGTTCTACCATGTCTAAATGCTGCAGTACTACAAGACTCGTATGTGGCTGCTGTCTTACCATACTGTTTGTAATAACCCATCTGTAATATTGTTAAACAAACATGAAATACTATGCAACAGCTAGAAAAAATATATATACATGTATTTATTTCATATATAATAAACTCTCACCACATATGTATATCTCACATATGTAATGTTTGGAAATATAATTGAAGAGATTTGGTTTATACAAATTTATTTTAGTTTGATTGTGTTGGAAGCTATAAGCTCATTGAAACACTCTCGAATCCGTTCCTGGAACCAACCAGTACTAAGCAATGAATGCAAAGTTTCTTGCTCAAGGTAACAACGGCTTGCCCCTGACAGGGTTTGAACCCACGCGGTAAGCAATCCTTAGATTACTAGTCCGACGCGTTAACCACTTGGCCACGCCACCACTTAAAGAAATTTGAAGAGATTTAAGTTGAACAAGAATTTTTTCTTTAAGTACAAAAAGGGGTGTAATTTAGACAAAAACCATGCTTGAGTTATAGGTCTTGTATAGTTTCTTACAGTTATGACCCTGAAGACATATGAGTTAAGTTTTAAGTGAGTTTTTACAGAGATTTACAAGAAATTTACACCTTTACCAAATGTGATGCCTCAGTAATACAAGGGTGCATAGAACAGCCCCAAGAATAGCCCCACTTTTCTTCAAGAAGTCACGCTAATAACAAGAAGCGAATGCCTCAAAATTCCACTGTTCTGTCAGCCTACAGATGTACAGTATGACAGACAGACAACGCCAAATATAATATTCCCCCCACCTCTCACCAACACTAGTAAGTTGAGGAAATAAAATGGAATAAAAATCTTCTTTTTTTTGTAAAGAAAATATGTTTAAGACAATATTCACCTGTATCACAAGTTGTAGCATTGCATCAGGACTGAGCTTCATTTGTTTCAAACTTGTCTTTGTAAATTTATAATATTCTAGATGATCAACATCCAAGCTTGTATATTTTTTCTCATAGCTGGTTTTTGCACTGTTTATATATTCCTTTAATTTTGGATCTAGAGCAAATTCTGTAAAAGAACAATGTAGATGATTTTTCAACTTAGATAAGATTTCAGTATTCAAACAATATTTACCAAGCAAAAGGAACCAAAAGAGCCATAATGGCTCTATATCCATCACTCGAATCTTGATAAATCAGAACCTCATTGTAACGCACAGTTGAGATCTTGTATCTTGGAGACTATTTTTAAAATGTAGAAAAAACAGTATCTCCCAACAAACATTCATATAGAATTTTGATAATTTTGGCCCAGTGGATTAGGGGAAGAAGTTGTTCAAACTGTGAAGACAATGATCAAACACATGGCTGAGCCAGCTGCTCTTGGCCTACACTGTTTTGTCACACTGGTAAAAGTCAGATGCTGCCAAGAGGATAAGGGTTAATTCAAAACTTAAATAATTAGGGCGAAAAAAAAAAATATTATATGTTTCACAGTAAATCGTTACATTCTATTTAATTTATTTGATATATTGGTATATCTGATACATTCTAACACACTTTACACTATTCCCTTATGAAACAGATAGGGCAATCATGTGCATTATTACATAATATATTCACAGTATAAAAAAGAATTCTTACATGTCATATATGACGTCAATAAGCCAAATTACTTCTATTCTCAATAAAGTTCAACATATATTTATCAATTCTCTTTTTTATTAGCATGTTAGAATGGAAATAGATATTAATTTTCCTTGCATTACTGGTCGGAGAGATAACTCTGACTCCTAGATAACCCCGACACTTGATAAATATAATTGTTATAACTTTGTTTTTCAACAAACAAGCACATGGTTACCTAGTACTATAGGAACAGGACAGAATGTGATGATTTTTTATAATTTGGTAAATTTTTTAATGTTTTTCAAATGACCTAAACTTTTCTTAAGCAAAAACTGCTTCAAAACGTTCTTTTAACAAAATTACATTAAGATAATAAGAATTGTAATGACCACAGGCCACTGATCTGGGAAAGATTTTTGAAAAAATAGATAAAAAATATAAGATGTAAAAATAAATTATTGATGCTAATTTTCCAGTCATTTTACTTAAAAATTTAAGTGTAGACTTTATCTACTGTTGTGAGGTAAAAATAACGTGTTTTGTTTACCTCATTCAGAACGTTGGAGAAGTACCAGATTCCATTTTCGTATATAAATTTTGTAGTGTAATTTAAAGTCTTTGAACAGAACTTTGTTTTGGTGGATCAATATTTAAAATATATAGGAAGATACTTAAGATATTGCAAGAAATATGTGATTTAGTGTCGGAGTTATCTCTCCAACCAGTATAGTAAAATAATGTACGGTTTGTCATTGAACATTCAGATGCTTTGTAATTAATCAAAAGAGCTTATCTGCCTTCTCAATTATATTCCTACACATCTGAACTATTGAACATTATTACACTTAAAATTGATATATATTTCGTAAGTGAACAATTTGATTAAATTTGCTTGTTCTTCATTGCAGTTTAAGCTAAAAATCTCCAATACATGATTTGGTTATGTAACCTATGATATCACAAACATAACAAGTTTTATCAATCAATTACCTATATTCTGAACAGTAAGATTTGAATCCACATTAGATGGCACTGTGCCAGGATGGACGAATGGTTTAGTTGTAGACTCTTTCCAGACTTCGTTAAAATATCTCAGAACTGCGACACCATCTCCCCAGGCATGTTCAAAGTTTACAGCTGCTCTCCCATCTTTTGTTAGTATCAAGGAAAAACTTTTATCAAACCATCTGCAAGAATGAAACAAGATACATATATTCAACTTTAAAGTCTCTTGATGATGATTTTTTAAATTTCACTGGTGACATGAAAATGTTCCCATTTTCTAATGCTTGCTTGAACTAGAAATATGTCCAAATACATGGATGCCCCAATATTCAAATGTTTTGTCGGTCCATAGATCCAGTCTGACTGGGTGACAGGACAAATAGGGGAAAAAACAACATAATTTGATATAACCATTATTCTTTGAAATTTGATTTGATAATGATTTTACAAAATTACTTCAGTAAAAAATTTAATAATACTGAATGTCTGTTACTTCGCTTTTCATTGTATAATCCTGACATTTATATGAACTAGATCTATATATACATGACTGCTATCAATCTGTTAGTGATTCCACTATTTTCTCAAATAAAGGCAGTTTGCTGTATTTTAAATTTGACAGGTTATATGGCCATATATAAATGGTTGTCTGCAATATAATCCTCACCTAGCAGTTCAGATAATGTATGCAAGCAACAGGATGATCTTAGTTATGCAATGGACACATGGGAAGATCTTTTGCAGGCTAAGGGTTAATTCAGAATTGACAAAGTTATAAAACATTTTTATTTGCTCACAACACACTCTATATATATATATATATATATATATCTCCTTACAAGAGGTATGAATCACACCAACCTGTTTGTTCCATCCCCATGTAGGAAGTTTCTAGTAATCTCGTTAGGATCTTCTGGCGTGGTATCATCTAGTACCAGTAAAAATAGGGCGGAGTCTACAAGTTTCATGTAACCTTCGTTCATCACCCCTGATGAAAAGAAAGCTGATTCATTCATATCCCCTGTCGAAAAAATGTTCATTTACTTTTACTATCTGGAAATGCTAATTTAAATCTATATCATATGTATTCTAAATGCCCATTTTAAACATTGTTGACAGCAATATTAACACTATATCTAAACCAGCAAATAAAGGATGTATACGTTTTTTTTGGGAACAAAATCCTGCAGTTATTGTTCCTCTTAGCAAGTCCTTTCTTGTTATGTCTTGCAATAATATAAGGATATTTAGTGCCACTTGACGTTATCAAGAGTATCACACTATTGCCCTGTGTCAACCTGTGGAGCAATCCCTTAACATGAAACACAATGCACTATTCTCTCCACATGCAAGTACTACTCTAAAACCAGATACACATAGATAACTGTGTTTATATATAGATACCTGCGTTACAGAGCTGTGTTCTCACAGTTGCCCATTTATCTCTGTCCATTGTTGTGAGTACACCGAGGGCATTCTCATTGGCTGGGCGTGGATCATTCAATATATGCTTAATGTGCGACATAATTATCTCTGGAGTGACAATATTTCCTGGAAAATATACAAAAGTAAGAGTCAATCTTTTTTTGGCCATCAATCAATACCTTTATTGTCAATCTATAGAAGGTTAAGACTATAACTAAAATATGTTGTATTCGTTCACATTAAAAATTGCTTAATCAAAACCAAAATTGTTACTTAATGCCTCCAGATTCATGCAAATTTTTGAAAATGTATTAAAAAGTACAATATTATTATTATAAAGTGAACAAAGAAATAAATATGTGCAAAATTGGCCAAACAAAGAAATAAACAAAATAATTTTACCATCTTTATCTATGGCATCAAATAGGTACATGTGACCTTTTCTCATGACTAGCATGTGCTTGGCTGAGCTGTCTGTGAACAGCACATCTTTACCATGTCTGTAATAACAAATACATGTATAGCAAGAAATATATCAACGTCACTTTTTAATAAAATACACTTGGTATTACTTTCATATGTATATTTTCACATGCAAAAATACTGGATCTGGTGACAAACATTACTATACATTTATACAAGTCATGAACATTGTATTTTGATCTTTAAAAAAAACAAGCATATGTCCCATATCAAAAATTCAAAAGCTAGATAAGACTCACTGATAATCTCACTTGATCAATGATGCCTCACTATCTAAGCAAAGTCTCAATTTTGAAAAATGAAGTCTTATGGTGTTAAATGAACCTTCTAATTACCAAAGCAGTAGTACTGATGCTTTTTTCATCATCATTTTTGGGATGGATCGTAGTTTGCCAAATAGAAAATATTTGTTTAAAAAATTAGGGTTAAACTGTTATTTAAAGGAACAAGAGCAATTAGTGATCGATGATAGCTGGAGTTTTTAAGCTACTGTCTGGACAAGTTTTGTGATGATGGATAGACAGACATGCAACCAAAATGAGATAAAGGGCCATTTCTTTTGTTATTTTCTTTAGTTTAAAAGAGGGTCATTGGCCTTTTATTCTGTTGTTATAAAATGAACTCTATTGTTCTGTTTTGCTATGTTTACAGTTAAATCGCCCCCTCTCAATTTTCGGTAGTGTCGACAGACAAATGACAGAGAAATAATCAATATATGCCAAAACTAATCTGATGCAGGCAACACAAAAACAAGAGGGCCATAATGGCCCTGAGTCACTCACCAGAAACAACTGCTTTTCAGTGTTAGAATGGCAATATATTCTAATATTAAATTTGAGCATAGAATATGTTTAAACAATAATTTGAAAAAATGGAATGACCTGGGGGTATTTAAGCTTTAGCTTAAACCAAGCTAATCAAATTAATATGAGCAAACTTGATAAAAGACTACCTAAAAATGCTACAAAGTTTGGTGATCATCTTTCAATTATTTCAGTAGGAAATGATGTTCGAAGGTTTTTTCTATTTTTAGCTTTAGTGGCCCCTAAAAGGGGCTAATCAAATAAATATAAGCAAACTTGATAAAAAAGTACCCAAGAATGCTACAGACAAAGTTTGGTGATCATCCATCAATTGGTTCTGAAGTAGCTAAATGGGGCCAATCAAATGAATATGAGCAAACTTGATAAAAGATTACCCAAGAATGCTACAGACAACGTTTGGTGATCATCCATTAATTAGTTCTGTAGGAGAAGATGTTTAAACGTATTTCTATTTTTAATTTTAGCGGCCCCTAAAAGGGGCCAATCAAATTAATATGAGCAAACTCAATAAAAGACAAGCCAATAATGCTACAGACAAAGTTTGGTGATCATCCATCAATTAGTTCTGTAGCAATAAATGTTTAAATGTATATCTATTTTTAATTTTAGCGGCCCCTAAAAGGGGCCAATCAAAATAATATGAGCAAACTTGATAAAAGACTACCCAACAATGCTTCAGACAAAGTTTGGTGATCATCCATCCATTAGTTCTGTAGAAATAGACATTTAAAGGTATTTCTATTTTTAGCTTAAGCGGCCCCTAAAAGGGGCTAATCAAATTAATATGAGCAAACTTGATAAAAGACTACCCAAGAATGCTACAGACAAAGTTTGGTGATCATCCATCAATTAGTTCTCTAGAAATAGACATTTAAAGGTATTTCTATTTTTAGCTTTTGCGGCCCCTAAAAGGGGCCAATCAAAATAATATTAGCAAACTTGATAAAAGACTACCCAAGAATGCTACAGACAAAGTTTGGTGATCATCCATCAATTAGTTCTCTAGAAATAGACATTTAACGGTATTTCTATTTTTAGCTTTAGCGGCCCCTAAAAGGGGCCAATCAAATTAATATGAGCAAACTTGATAAAAGACTACCCAAGAATGCTACAAACAAAATTTGGTGATCATCCATCAATTAGTTTTGTAGGAGAAGATGTTTAAAGGTTTTTCTATTTATAGTCCTAGAGACCACTAAAAGGGGCCAATCACAATAATATAAGCAAACTTGATAAAAGACCACCTAATAATGCTACAGACAAAGTTTGGTGATCATCCATCAATTAGTTCTCTAGAAGTAGGCATTTAAAGGTATTTCTTTTTTTAGTTTTTGCGGCCCTTAAAAGGGGCCAATCAAATTTATATGAGCAAACTTGATAAATCACTACCCAAGATAGCTACAGACAAAGTTTAATGATCATCCATCCATTAGTTCTGTAGAAGAAGATGTTTAAAGGTTTTTCTATTTTTAGCTCTGCTGACCCCTAAAAGGGGCCAATCAAATTAAAATGAGCAAACTTGATAAGACACTACCCAAGAATGCTACAGACAAAGTTTGGTGATCACCCATCCATTAGTTCTGTAGAAGAAGATGTTTAAAGGTTTTTCTATTTTTAGCTCTGCTGACCCCTAAAAGGGGCCAATTGGAATGACATGAGCAAATTCAAGTGTGACTGTCACAAGGATGCTACAGACCAAATTTGAAGTAAATCTGCCCAGTAGTTTCAGAGAAGAAGAAGATTGTTGACGCATGACGACGGACGACGGAGCATCCCCCTTTGATACTAATAGCTCACCCTGGGCCTTCGGCTCTGGTGAGCTAAAAAAAGCTGCAACAACCTCAAAATAATATATTTCATAATAATTTAAAAATTTTGGACTCTGTTTTTAAAAATTGTAGTTTCTGCCATTTGAAACAGGCCTTTTTTTAACTTGTCTAAAGATATAGAAACACCCACAATGAGCAATAGTTGTAAACTAATAACAACACCCTGTACATGAAAAAGATACAAATGAAACAAGATCAGTTGCATACTTTGGGATCCTAGTAGAGTTAAACAGGTTTGGATATTGGCTCATGTCTAGTGGAAATGCCTTGTACCAGTATGCTCCATAGAAAGAAACTGCCTTAGGCAACATTCTGAAATAAATGATACAAAATATATGAATATTGTTTTAAGCCAAAATATATAAGCACAATTATACACTGTACAGCTATGACATTCTTCAGTTCTTTTGACAATAACTGTGAATAAAATAAGTAAATAAAAAGTAAGGTTAGAAGTCAGGCTACAATATACAAACAATATCTGTGAATTGAATGTCACTTTAAGGTATTACCACCCTAATGGGCACTATAAGGAACTAAAAACTTGACATCATAGGTCAGGTATATACCTTAAAGTACACCTGTATGCAAAATTTAAACAAAGTTTACCATATGGAAATCAAGATATGGCCACTTTTCTGAACTCAAGCTAGGATGTTATGAGGGCCCTTTTTTAAGAAATGAGGAACCTTTAAATAATCTGCAATAACATTCTTATGAAAAATGTTTTCCCATTAATTTTTGGTAAGAAACTAATAGTACCATTTCAGCTAACAATCCACATAAGCAAAATTATGGTTTCTACTTAAAATTTATGAAATCTGTATAAACATGTTACCCTACCCCACCCATTTTTACCACGTGTCTGACCATTTGCCTACTTAGGGAGCCTGATTTAAAAAATCCTTAAAATTTACCCAAATGCGTGCCTGTTTTCAAAGTTTCCCTAAATTTTTAAGGAAGTATATTGGTTGATCTTGTAAAATATGAAATACTTTTACCGTCCAGTTTTGATTTTATTACACTTTGAAAATATCAGGTACCATATTTATTACTAGATTTTGCATAATTTAGCCAATAAATACCTATATAAATTAAAAAATCAAAATTAAACACTTTTTTCTTTCCAAATGGGACATGAAAGATACATAAATAATGTTAAAAGAAAACAAGAACGTGTTTGTTAAACACAAATGCCCCCGGCTCAGATTCTTGTCAGTAGCAATACTTCATAAATGTTTACCCATTCACTCAGTTATGGACAGAAAAATCACCAAAAAATTGTAAACACAAGTTTTATAGCTTGACAAAGTCATGGCATTTTGTAATTGTGAAAAATATAAGTTGCCAAGTCATTGCTCTGACTTGTGAAGTTGAAAAATATTCAACTTCATGCAAGTTATCTTCCTACCAAATACGAAATACATCTGTCATTAAATAAAGGCTGTATGGGCAAAAGTGTAAAAATCTATTTTGAGCACTGGTGACCTTGACCAAACTGACCCCTAACTCTATCCAAAAGAAGAATACCATGTAAGTTATCTTCCTACCAAATATGAAATACATCTGTCAATAAATAAAGGCTGTATGGGCAAAAGTGTAAAAATCTATTTTTAGCACTTGTGACCTTGACCCAACTGACCCCTTACTCCATCCAAAGGAAGAATACCATGCAAGTTATCTTCCTACCAAATATGAAATACAACTGTCAATAAATAAAAGCTGTATGGGCAAAAGTGTAAAAATCTATTTTTAGCACAAGTGACCTTGACCCACTGATCCCTACCCCAATCAAAAGGATGAATACCATGCAAGTTATCTTCCTACTAAATATAAAATATATCTGTCACTTAATAAAGGCTGTATGAGCAAATGTGTAAAAATCTATTTTTAGCACTGGTGACCTTGACCCAACTGACCACTAACTCCATCAAAGTTTATGTTTCTATCAATTATAAATAACATCTGTCTATAGAATAAGGTCAATACACCTGTAAAAATGTAAAAATCTATTTTTAACATTGGTGACCTTGACATTGGTAACATTGACCTTGACCCAAAATGACCCCATACTACACCCAAAGAAGGAGGTGTTTGTATTAAACTAAGACATCAACTAAAAAATAAAGGCTGTATGAGCAAAAAGGTATATATTTATTTTTTAAACCAGTGACCTTGACCTTGACCCTAGAGACCGCTTACTCTAAAAAAAATTAGAGGACCATCAAAGGTATCCACCTACTAAATATGAAAGATATCAGTAAAGAAATTAAGCAATTAGGAGAAATTTAAGATAAATCCAACTTGCCGAAATAGGTTAACCAGACAAGGCCCTATTTTCAAAGTGAAAAAAGGGAAATAACTGGGAAATATGGATGACACAGTTATATAACTTGGCAATATCATGTGTTTTGTATTGATAAGAAAGTGTGGAAAATATAAAGCCATTAGTATAGATAGAACTTAAGATATTTCCAAATTGCCGTTTTAGGTTAACCATTATTCATTTTCTAAGTGCTGAAAAGGGCAATAACTTGGTAAATATGAAAGCCAGAGTTATGAAACTTGCCCAGATTGTGTACTTTGTATTGATTAGTAAGTGTGTAAACTTAGAAGCCATTGGTCAAGTAGAACTTAAGAAAAATCCAACTTGCCGTTCTAGGTTAACCTCGTACGGACGGACGGTTCAATCACTATATGCCCGGGGGCATAAAAAGAAAGAACAAGAGGGCCATGATGGCCCTGAAGTCGCTCACCTGTATATAGGCCCCCGGAGTGGGGCCAGTTTTAACCCCAGGGCTTTTATTTGAACAAACTTGGTAGACACCCATTAGAAGATGTTTCATGCTAAACATCTAAGGTCTAGCTGGTCAAGTTTTTTCTTTACACATAATTATTGTTAAAAACAAAGACACACCTGGGGCAGGGCCAATTTTGACCCAAGGGCTTTTATTAAAACAATCTTTGTAGACACTTACTTGAAAATGTTTCATGCTTAATATCTAAACTCTAGCTATTCAGGTTTTTTCAAAGAAGTTTTTTAAGTTTTTGCTATACACATAAAAGGAAAATCAATGTCCCCCGGTGCGGGGCCAATTTTGACCCCAGTGCTTTTATTTGAACAAACTTTGTAGACACTCACTAGAAGATGCTTCGTGCTTAATATCTAAACTCAAGCTATTTGAGTTTTTTCAAAGAAGATTTTTTAAGTTTTTGTTATACATATATAAGGAAAATCAATGACCCCGGGGTGGGGCCAATTTTGACCCCAGGGCTCTTATTTGAACAAACTTGGTAGACATCCATTAGAACATGTATCATGCTAAATATCTAAGCTCTAGCTCTTTCGGTTCTTTAAAAGAAGATTTTTCAAGTTTTAACAATATGCATATAGGGAAAATCAATGACCCCCTGGGGCGGGGCCAATTTTGACCCCAGGACTTTTATTTGAACAAACTTGGTAGACACCCATTAGAAGATGTTTCATGCTAAATATCTTAGCTATAGCTCTTTGGGTTCTTTAAAAGAGGAGTTTTTAAGTTTTTACTATATGCATATTGGGAAAATCAATGACCCCCTGGGGCGGGGCCAATTTTGACCCCTGGGCTTTTATTTGAACAAACTTGGTAGACACTCACTAGAAGATGTTTCATGCCAAATTATCTTAGCTCTAGCTCTTTTGGTTTTTTAGAAGAAGATATTTAAAGTTTTTTCTTTTGGTTGCCATGGCAACCAGAGTTCTGCATGGAATTAAATTCTTTGAACAATTTTTAAAGGTGACCACCAAAGGAACATTCCTGTGAAGTTTGGATGGAATCGGCTTTGTGGTTTATAAGGAGATGTCATTTAAAGTATAAGTTTAAGGACGACGGACAGACGACGGACAGACGAAAAGCGATCACAAAAGCTCACCCTGTCACTTTGTGACAGGTGAGCTAAAAAAAAGTGGACCCTTCTGGGGATTGAACCCACCACCCTCATTTTGATGTAGTTAACAGTAGTTCTAGCCTATTTGAATACTCTTCAAAGTGGAGGTAATGCATTAGGATGGTAATACTTTAAAGAATGATTGGTATGCTTTTACACTTTAATAAAATTTTATCAGCAGCCTTAAGACTGCAAATGGGGACCACAAAAGGGTCAATATGGCAGAAGATTTTCAATAATCAAATTAATATGAGCAAACTTTATAAAAGACTACCCAAGAATGATCATCCATCAATTAGTTCTGTAGTAGAAGATGTTTATAGGTTTTTCTATTTTTAGCTCTGTTGACCCCTAAAAGGGACCAATTGAAATGACATGAGCAAATTCAAGTGTGACTGTCACAAGGATGCTACAGACCAAACTTGAAGTAAATCTGCCCAGCAGTTTCAGAGAAGAAGACGATTGTTGACGCAAGATGACGGACGCCGGAGTATCCCCCTTTGATACTAATAGCTCACCCTGAGCCTTCGGCTCTGGTGAGCTAATAACAGCATGTGTAATGATATTCCTCACAGTTTCATATTTCACAAATGAGCTTTTGCTGTTTTACCTGACAAACTTCCTGAACTGCAAGGTGTCACTTTGTTTTGGATTCAGGTGATAAACATCTGGCTCCAACAAGTTAGCTCTGTAAGTCTTCATGAAACGTAGGGAAGACATTACCAAGTTGGTAGCTCTCACTAACTGAAACATGATCATTAATTTATGATTCTTCATCCCCAAGTTAACTGATATCTTATCAACAATACTTGTTCCTAAAACACAAATGCCCTGTTTCAGGCTGTTTGTAATATGTGAGAAATTTAAAGAAATTGAATTATTTTTAACTAACAGAATTTATACACCTGATTATCATGTATTTTCTTTTCGTGTAATATTATACCATCAGGATATCTCCCAAAGACAAAAAATTACTTAGTATAAATGAATCCTAAAATTTAAGTGAAATATTTGTGAATGAAATATAAAGTATATTGAGAACCCAGTCTAATTATTATAGGTTAATGTTCTTTGGTAATCATTTACAAAAAATAATGGGTCATGAGTGTTGATTTACCAAAGTAAATGTGTAACAATTCATTTGAAAAACTGCAATCCTATTGGACAAAATATAATATTAAACACTAATATACCATTAATACACAATAAGTACAATAAAATTTAACTGCAAATGAAAAAAGTTTTAAACAAATATTTTACTCTTCATATGTGCTCTATAATTGATATTCTTAAAGGAACTCCACTGAGGTTTTTTGAAATGACTAAATATGACTTATTTTTTTCATTGAGTGATATGGAAATAAGTATTTCATGAGTGGTGGTAGCTACCATTGAAATATGATAATATTCATATCACAAGATGAAACTAAATACTGTATTTATAAAAAAAAACTTGAATTTTCTGTTTATCATACACATTTTTCTCTTTTTAGACATTACAATTGGAAAGACTTCCCCTTAAATTTTGAGTTTTTGCCAAATTTAGAAGAAAGTATTCCTGCAAGACACCAGTGAAAATATGAAAAATATGTTTCACTGCAGTGGGAAATAAATTTTTACAGCGAAAATACGGATAACGAAAATACGCATTTTATTTCATCAACATTTCTCATTATTTCATTTATAAGTATATAATAAGTAATCTTATCAATACAATGGTGTCTGTTCCATACCTGATCCATATATTCTGGTTTAGGGTCATCAGTGAAGGTAATAAATGGATTGTGGGTCAAGGAAACTGGGCGACGATCTTTCAAGTACATGTCAAACCATGGCTCTGTTGAAAAATAAAGTCTTTCTTATGAATATATTAATGTATTCTCATACATTCAAGTTAGTAATAGATAAATAATCTTGTACATACTTTCAAATATATTACAAATCACGATTCTGTCAAAAAAATCTATTCTTTTAAATGTATTTCAAACCATTAACAAATAGATACATATTTTTTGGCTTTTTAATATATTTCAAACCATTGGTAGGTTAATAAATAAATCAATAGGTGTGCAAAGATTAAGTAAAGCAGCATGCCTCCAAATTCATGCCAATTATCATGAAAATTTTGAAAATCTATTTAAAAGTAAAATACTACGAAATAAACAAAGAAAGTAATTCTCACACTATAAATGGCCTTGCAACCAACATAAATTACAAAAAAAGAGGTCAAAATATGTGAAAATAGAGTAGTAGTATGGTGATATATATTGAAAAATCAGTCTTTAGTCACACATAACACGCAAAAAAAATTATTGAGTCTTGAATATTTTTATGTCTCTTAAAATCTTAGGACATTTTACCCAAGTTTGATTTAATCGAAATATTTTGGCTCATCTGGTGGCATGCAGCTTTAATTCACTGCGGGTCACCTTAGGGCAATAACTGGTTAACTCCTATTAAATTTAGGACTTACCCCATATCGCACTTAAGTGACATGCTTTGAATAAATTATTTTTGACCTCAATCGGAGCATGATATAATTATAACAAAACCACAAGTTTGTAAATAAATACATCATATTCTTGTACTCAAACCATGGGTCTGTTAAATTCATGTGGATAATCAATAATAATAGAACTTACCTGATATGTAACTGGTGTGCTTGTTTTGTTTGTCTCTTTGCACAAGCTGTTCATGGAGCTCTAAAATAAAGACGAAAATGGATAAAATGGTGTGGAATGCAAAATAATTTGCAATAAAGGTATCAAAATGTATAACAAGTGATATTTTGACTTCAATACAAAATACTAAATCCTAGTAACTGAACTGAAAGCCAAAAGATGGCTCAGGTATCTCATCAGTGAACTGTAATAAGACACTTTTTTGGGTGAGTACAATAGCTCTCCCTATTTTTGCTTATAGTAGAGTGTTATTTAGTTGAGCAAAAAATAAAAGTATTTTTACTCTTCATGGACCTTTAAACATTTATGCAAATATTGTGTTCGGTTTTAGTAACCACAATGACACAGTACTTGCATTGTGAAGAAATAGACTTATTATAAAAATCTGGAAGAAGGGTGATCCCGCGGAAGCATTAATCACAACAAAATTACATGAAAATTGCAGACTCAGTTTGATTGAGTCTGTACATGAGGGTTAATGAATTAGTGTAATATCCCTCACACCCTCTAACACCGACTTAAGGGGTACACAATTTTCAACACTTTCAAAGTGCTTGGAAATCAATGATCCCAAACATATTGGTCTTATATCCTTTTCCTTCTCTCAGCAAGGAATTTCATCAACTAACTTTTTGGTTGGCT